GAAAGTTCGATGACATCGAGATCCATCAAAATATTATCATTATCTGAATTGTCATGTGCTAGTGCATGGCTCAGCTTGCAGACATCGTAAAATAGGGGTAATAGAGTGCCGCACAGCCCGACATGACGGTCGGCGTATGCCTCGGCGGGCGGCCGGAAGCGCAGCGTAGGCACCGCACAGCTAAATAAGCATCCCCGGAGCTCCCACATGACCATGCAGCTCAAGAAGACCCGTAGCTCGGGTCGCGAAGGATCACTGGTGTTGTATACAGGCTGGATGAGTGCGAGCGTCCGGCTGCAGATGGCTAGTATGTCATTGAGGCGCAGCCTTACGGCAAATGTCGAGACTAGAGAGCCGAGCATGAGGCAGTCAATCATAGCCTGAAAGTCGGTGACATGGAACGATGACAGTGCGGCTAGAGCCGATGAGGCGTGTTGATAGCAGGTTCTTAAGCGACCTTGATTGGCTTGGCCGTCGACATCGCCCTCCCATGAGATGGCACAGGCCAGTAGACCGCCTAGGACAGTCGTTTGAGGCAGCAATAGCCGTGGAATAACTTGTTCGCGGACCCTCTCGCTGAAGCTAGAGCACACCGAGAATGTATCTAACAGGTGGTCCTGAAACAGAGTGCGCTCCACAAGCTGGCTATCAGCCGCAGACAGATAGCTAAGCTCAGACAAACGCCTGGGAACCAACTTGATGTAGTCATCGACGTGCATCCGGCACCCGGAGTGCGTACACAGCAGTTGGCTGTCATCGGGTTTGTTATGCCGGTGTGGCCGCAGATCTGTGGAAAGCCGCCTCCTGTTCATTGCTGATGTTTTCCGGCCGGGCCTACCTTTTGGTCTGACGGTCTCGCAGACATGCCCGAGCCGGATGCATCGCTCGCACTGCGTTTCCAGTCGCACCCATTCGCAACGCTCCTTGATGGCGTGGCATCGATCACATGCTCGCGGTGATCGATTCTCCCCATTAATCATCCACAATGACATATTGGCCGCTTGGGCTCAACTCAAGGCGATGCCCGTGGTGAGACGCCGAAGAATAATCTGAAGCTTATTAATTGAATGGGTTTGTTGTGGGGAGGCTGCAAAATGTGCTCGCGACCACCTAACCGACAAATAACGGTTTGGCTGGCTCCTACGCTAAGTATGGGGATCGAAACAACCGCTTATAACCGTCAAGAGTATTTACGTCGACGCATTAGAACCACTTTCATGAAATTACTCGAGATGTAGACTACGACATATGATTGCTATCCCGTGTATTTGCTACAATCATCCGGCGCGACTGCTGTCCTCACGCTTCTCATCTGTGTCACGGCACAATACAGGGGAATACTGGAAGAGCGAGCCCCTTTGAGGGAGTTGAACCCTCTCTCAAAAGTCCTATAACTTGCCTTTTACGACCATCAACCAAGCTGGCAATCATGCCTTTGTTATATTACCTCACAAGCACTCATCAACTATTTCTGCTGCCGCTAGACACTCTTCATCACGCATCCGACTAGTGAATATCTGAATCGAGCAGGGGGCATTTTCCACGGCTTCCGGATTGTCTGTTTTTGAGTCAATTTGTGCTAATTCATCGCAGAGACTTCCGCGAGAGGTAACTTACAAAATGGAGTACCTTGGCCAGGCTTTCTGTCAAATTTTTGCTCGCTTTTCTTGGCTTTGCCAACGGGTATGATACATGCCGGATACTGCTCTTTGCCATTAGTCTCATAGAGCGTTCGTCTCAGCACTGCTACTGATTGCAGGAAGCTCACATCAAGAAGATTCAACAAGAGTGAGTACGCCGGCCAGCCATACTGGTCGTGCTCGACCGCTGTGCTCTGCGCGGAAGGCGAAATCACTGCATCGAGATTATGCTTGACCCACAACTTCCGCCAACTGTCAATGATCTCTGCTCGCATGTTCTGAAGTGCTCCGAACTTTTGAAGTCTGTCCATCTGACTGAGATCTGGGACAAAATTCCAGCCAATGCTGTTCAACTGGTCAGCGAACATTGCCATCGATGGTACAACAGGTTCTCCGCTAGATGCTATGATCTCTCCGGGCGTATTGTCTAGACTAAGGAGGCTTCCAGCTACCTGATTCGCAGCAGCTATGTAACACTCGCCCGAGTTCAATATTACAATCTCGTGCCCATGTGATTGTAGTACCTGCACAGCTTTAGTTATCGTGTCCTTCACGGGCGGATGGAGAGGGAAGAGCGGGTCTTCGGGAAGGAGCCCTAGACGTAATTTCCGTCGTTGTTCCAAGCTGACGCTTCTCCATGGCACATCAAGAACTGTAGAATCGTGAGTGAATGGCCTGGCATCAATGACAGCTTTGGTGAAAATTTGCAAAGCCTTCATGTCGTTCGCCAGAGGGCCAGCTGATGGGATGATGGCTGCAATGCCTGCATTAAGAGGCATAACCTGGCCCGTATAAGCAATTCTGCTTGACGATGGCTTGAATCCATATGTGCCGCAACACAAAGACGGAATACGGATAGATCCTAACTTTTCTCAGAACCAATCGCGCCATTGTAGTCCTACCACCTTCACTTACCCGCAAGATCAGTCCCGACTCCGAGTGGCGATCCGCGGAAGGCAATCAGGGCACCTTCCCCGCCGCTGGAGCCTCCAGCCGTGAGCATGGTGTTCCATGGGTTCAAGACACGCCCGAAAACATTGTTATCTGAGTCCAGGGTCTATACAAAGATCAACGTCTACTCAAACAAGACATTGGCCAGTGACACAAACCATCAATACCTGAGATACGTTGGTCTTGACATAAATAACGGCACCCAATCCGAGCAGAACCTCTACTAGGGCCGAGTTCTCTTCTGAAGTCTGGCCAAGAAGAGCTACGGCGCCAATGCTCGCTTGAGTCCCCTTGACCTGGTATGAATCTTTGAGGCTCACCGGCAGCCCATGGAGTGGACCTGCTAGCTTCCCTTTGCTGCGTAAGTCGTCCAAGTATCGCGCTCTCTCCAAGGCTTGATCGAAGAACATCTCCGTTAAGCAGTTTGTCTTTCCAAAGTGTGTCAGCAATCCTGTATAAATAGATATGTTGCTTGATATATGTCAGGCCTCAATGTGGTGGCTGATCGCATATGACTTACTAGTTGCTGTGCAATGGCTGCTCGTTTCGAAAAAGCTAGTGTCACTTCAAAAGATGTCAATCTACCTGAGGCAAGCCCTTCAAGCAGACTCGATACATTGTACGATTCTGTAATTTCAAGTTCTCTCTCCGACAAAATGCCAGAAGTCCGGGGAATATCCAGTGAGATGAGGTCGATATTGGTTTTCGACAAATCCGAACCCCTCGAAATGTCTTCTAGGACTCTTGAGGATAGAGTCCAAGCTTCTGGTATAGCCTTCTGGCGACTGGCGCGTTTCTTGGCTACCTTGCTTTCCCAATCCAAGGCCATATTTAGGTGGGAAGACTGTGAAGCCATAGTCATTTGAAAAGCTTTATAAATTTGATGCCAAATATTCAGTTGATAGCATGCCTCAAGCTATAGTGCAGGAGAAACCTGATTTAAATAGTTTTTTGCCAGAGATATCTTTGAACAAACATGACCAATCACAATGTAGGTAGCCCCGAAGTTGTGTAAGTCAGTAAGTCGCGGCATCCGGCCCCCTGTGGAGCTCTGGCCGAAAGAGGTAATGGGCCGGTCCCAATCCGCCGGCCCCAAGGTTTGAAGCACCGAAAATACGCCAGTGGGCATCCGCATGGGAAGAACAATGTTTAACCACTTTGCTATTGTATGTCATAACCAGATGCATCCTTATTCTTTGAGTCACTGATGTGGTTTCTAATAACCTATAGTCGATTGCGTTTCCTACCCGTCCACCTCATCCTGCATTGCCATTGGCGTGCTCCTGTCTGTCTTGATCATACTTGCTGTCGTATTTTGGCTGTGGCGTAGTAAGCGGAACAACCGACCTAAGAACTTACCACAAGGCGACGAGGATGGGGATTAGCATGTTCCCGACGCCGCGTTTGAAAACCCCGAGTTGGAAGCATCATGAAACAAACATGAGATGATGGCCACTCCAGTGCTCGAGCAAGTGGCATATCATGCGCTAGAGGATGTTGCCTATGTTCAGCCATGGCACGAGAGATATGAGTTGCCTTCAAGCCCGGCGCATGGATATCGGCCGGAAGACCCAACAAGCGGATCTCCAACTCATCAAGACAACATGTATCTCCAACACTACCAACAACAAATGGAAACCCCCTTCACGAAATGTCGGCGACACCAGTTCCAGGCGTACCCACCTCCCCGACAACACCTCCGCAACTGTTGACATCGCCAGTCAACTAGGCAACTATGGCAACGCCCGGAGGAGTTGGGTCTCACATTCGCTATCCTAGGATGACTCAGGAAGATGAAATTAGAGGCTCGAGGAGGAAGAACGTGAGCTGGACACGGCGATTGCGGAGAACGAGAGGCTGCAACGGTTGAGGGAGGAAAAGGAGAGGGTGAGACGGAGGCTCCAAGAAGTCAGGTATAGTGACCACTGGTTGGGTCCGGGCAATGATAGAAGAGGTCGAGAATGAAGGTGAAATATTGAGCAAGAACATCCTTTTGCAGCTTGTTCCGGAGTGATGTGTCATCAGAGTGCCACCGTAGCTAGGCAGTTACCCAGGTACTGACCGCTGGGCGCCAAATTAACTTCCTGAAAGGCCTCTTTCAGTTTCCCATGGATAGTATGCAAGGTCCCCTGCCCAGTAGTTCAACATCTCGGTCAAACGGCGCTGCACAATTGTTCTCTCACACTTGTCACGCTCTGCATTAGATTGAACGTGTTTATTCCGAGTCTCATACCCTTTGTAACATGATTGGGCTGACGTGAACCTATGCATAAACCGACAAGAACCCTACTTGTGAAAAACAACCAACAACTCCGTCATGACCTTGACCCAGACAGTATAGCACGAACACATTCGCGGACTATTATGCGTGAACGCGACCTGTATGCTATGACAGCAGTAAGTACTCAATTACTCCTCCATCTTCACGTCGTCGCCGTTCTTGCCCAAATTCTTCAGCAGGTAGCTGCGTTTGAAGTACTCGTTGGGATGAACAATAGTTTCAAGCTGTGCTGCTGTCATGACACCCTCGTCTTTGGCGCGCTTGATCTCAGCCCTGTGCACGTGGTCGAAGACACTGTTGGCTTGTGTTAGCGACAAAAATGCTAGAATCTGAGGTTCCAGGTAAATTCGAACTTACCGGTTGCATGCCATGTGGAACTTCTGGCTGTCCTTGTCTTCCTTCACGCCTTGTAATACTCCACGATCGTTGATGCCCATTCCTTGGAGTAAAGATGTGAGATTCTCCATGTTGAAGTGTCTGTATGGGCATCCGTGGGCCTCACCTGGCCCGGGCGGGTGTTCAGTGAGAATCTTCTGACAGCTGAATGGACTATATCCGCCACCTCTCCTGTTTGAATCACCACCCACATCACCGTACACGTGCCTCACGTTGTACCGGTATTCCTTGTTGAAGGTGTCGTCGGTGATCTTGCTGAATGATTGCCTCCAGAAGATGAGGCACTCCTCGAGGTTCAAACCGATGCCCTTCAAGAAAAGTGTGTATTGTAGACGACCATAGTGCTTGAGATGTGCATCCCTTCGGAGGGATCGGTGTAGATGTGACATGCATGCTGGGAAATGCTTGGAAAGATTATCTATGTTGCGTGCGGTAATCTCGGCGCCTACCGGCCCGCCAGAGGAACCACTGCTGTACGACGCGTCAGGGGTGACGAAGTTCTTGGAAAGATGGTCAAGGATTGGCGTGAGGCGGTCATCCTCATCAAGACGTGGCAGAGCGCGAGCAGTCAACTATGGCCTAGTGTCAGCACATGTTGCAGGCACTCGCAACGATGTAGGGAAAGCGTACCTCAAGAGCTCGCTCTAATCTTGAGCTGAACTCGGTGATCACCATGCTCGCCTGCTCCTTTGAGGGAACATATGCTTTGCCCGCTTTTAGGAACACCCTTCGACCCTCAATCAGGTCTGGGACTCGCTCCCAGTCTACCTTGCACCAAGTCTCTTCTTCCGGCGCCATCTTCCGTCCGTAGCCACTCGCGCTTGTTGCGGCTAGCTCAGCAGCGTATTCTCTTCGTTCCTCCTCGGATACAACTTCCCAGTCTAGGTTGAGGCTCTGCACGAAGGCAGCACGCTCCCGCATGTCGTCCGCGTTGAAGCGCAGGCGGAAGAGCATCGTCTCCACCCTCGTGAACCGGCGGCGTAGATCCTCTGTTGACGCGAATGCCAGTCTTAAGATGAAGTGGCTGTAGTGGTCCTTTTGTCTCTCGGCAAATAGACGCGTAGATGATGAGCTATTCGTCTCGAGGGGCAGGTATTTCTCCAATAGCGGCTTCATGTGTGCTGCTGTCTCGGCGGGTGACTTATTGCGGAAGGAACATGCTTCCAATTCGGCGAGAACTACAGATTTAAGGCGTTAGCTTCGTGTTGTTTCTCTCCTAAATCACAGAGTAAACGCACTTCGCAGGCGATCAATAGCCCATTGCTCGAATTGCTCAAGCGTGATGTCTGCAGTCGGAGGCGTCGAGTAGAAATTCAGTCGGTGAGGGTAATCGGCGGCCTTGTAGGCGGGATCAGCGAACTGCTTCTTGCGATGGTCGAGGACATTGCGCCTCTTGGCATCGATGCGGTTGAAATCTTGACGGATCATGGTGGGGGTCGACTATGCCAAAGAACAGCTGGATCTTCAATGCACAATCTTGACTCTGGATATCATGGGCACGATGGTGGTTGAGAAGTGAGTGTCTAGGTAAACTAGGTACTATGGGAAGACGCGACTAGACCAGTAGACGCGTCTTCCTGTTAATGGGAACCGCGACCCAGTAGCGACTTCAGCCAATGAATACGATGTAAATTTGTGGGGCATTAGAGGCAGCTGTTAGTGACCTTGGCCAGCCGACAACACCAAAGTGGGTCTCCGGATCCGATGTCTCTCGGAGCGGATGGAACTCTATGGGCTATTTCCGGTGTGTGGACGGTCACAGTCAATCCAGTTGTGCATCGCAATGTAAGCTTACGGTACAGCCAAGGGCCGTTTCTCCAAGACTTGGTTACTGGTACTGCCCTATGGCTCGATGCAGACACCTTAACTGGACCGGACTCCTTGCTCCAGAAGTGGATCCGGTTGGATGCTCTAGGTCGAGGACATTTCTAGAAAATCTCTCCTTGATACCACGGAGGAAAGATCTCACTCAAACTCAAATAATACATGCAAAAGCTCGAATCATAATCGGCCACAGGTTGCAGAGTTTTCGAATGCCTGACGTAGAGTGGTGAATCGTCCCAATTGAGAGGGTGTCCCTCGTGTCCCAGTGGGGCATGTGAGTGCCTATTCCTATGGGCTTCCATCGTAGCTATTAGGGCTTCGCCCAACCGATTTAATAAGATATACAAAGGGGATACACTGAAATTTTATGGACTTATTTGCAGTCTCTAGTGGTTGTCTGATTCTTTAGTCGACAGGAAAGGCAGCTCATTATGACTGGCTGCGAGGCAAGTGTTCGCCTCATCACACCCGTAACGCAGCCAAATCTTGACCGGTGAGGATAATGATAAATGACTGGGCAAGGATGTCAAACTACTGCAAGCCATTTATCAATCTTATTCCTCGGGCCTGCTGTCTGGCCCATTATCTCTGTTGAGGAAGGCGTCCATGACAGTCCGAATGGGACAGCCACCACGGACACAGACTTGATCATGTAGGGCCGGTCTAGGAGGCAACAAGGGCGGACAAGGGTCCCCAAAGCTCAAATTAGACAGGTAACAGGTTACGAATGTTGATGTAATAATATGCACGGACCTTTCTACTTGTGAGATGCAACTAATCATTGAAATATCTTTCTGCATATGCAGGATGCTCCCCGTCGGTTCAAGATGATCCTTGTCTATTTGGATGAAAGTGCCTTACATCAGAAGTGATGGATGCCTACTTCTTTAAACTTACAGAGGCAAGGCTCTGGATCACCCTCTTGGGCAGCGATGGCAGCTATTTCTATCGGCCCTCCCTCCTGAGGCAGTTAGATTCGTTACACCACTTCTCGTTACACGACATTTTGATGCGTTACACAGCGTTCTGTGTCACATCAACACCGAATACTACTGGTTTTCTCATGATGATTCTATCAAACCCCCCTACACCATTCTCCCAGAACAAGATCATCGCCCTTGATTCTAAAAGAAATTGGGCTAGTGCCGATTCTTGGTCGTCGCACAAGGAAATCATTAGGCGATTGTACATTGATCAGAACCGAAAATTGGAAGAGGTGATTTCCCTTATGGAGGAAGGCTTCCAATTCTTCGCCACGTAAGGCTTAGCCTCGATTTAACTCTCTGAGTGGCTGGGAGCTAATCGGAAATAGCAAGAAGATGTACAAAAGCCGGCTCAAAGCATGGGGGTTTTCCAAGAAAATGAACCAGGAAGAAGCCCTTGCACTGCTTTATTGGCAAAAATGGCACCAGATGAAAAATAAATCCTCTCACCTTCATATGACAGGCAAACGGTTTAGTTTCAACCGTTTGAACCGATATGTGAGGGAGCATCCGGTTTTGATGCGACGTTTCCGGGCAGGTGAGATTCCGACATGTGAAACAGCTCAGCAAATTCTCCTTTCAGCCTTGCCGCCACCATCAACACTTGATATTTGCAACCTCTATGTCTCAAATGACACAGAGAAACTCCTTGCAGATGTCCAGCTTTACATCGAAGACTGTTTTGAAAAGCATCATTGGTACTTTGACGCAGCTGGTAACTATCATAGTGGTAGAGGTGACCAAAGCTTTCGGCTTTTGCACAATCTCCGGTCAACATTCCAGGCAGTCTGGCGACAACTTAAGAACTTGGAAGACATCCCGTTGATGGATGTTCTTGACCCTACATTTCGATCTATTGACATTATATTGAAAGAAGAAAGTCCACTACTATTGTCTGCGGTCATTTCAACTGGCTTATGCGCCATCCTTGATGGACAAGATGGTGATTCGGGCCACCTCTTAGACCAACTGCTGAAGATTTTCTTCAGTCACCTCCAACAGCGAACTCGTGACCTCCTCGGCAGCGACCATAGACTCTGCAATATCTGGAACCATTGTCAAAAATTCCTTCTGGCCAAGCAAGTTGAGCCACTGGAGAAGGTATTTGTGCTGTCTATGGCGGAGGTCGAAGGACGAACAGATGGCTTGAATGAACTGCTCATGGATATATATCTAGAGTATTACCGTTCCATCGTCTTCTCGAGGAGTCGAGATGCACGAGAGGCAAGCCTTCGTTCCCAACTGGACAAAATCCAGCCCGATTTTATGGAGAAACCCTTAGTCTTGACCTTACGAATTCGCCATGCGGTGGTGCTGGGTCTTCTCAGATGTGACCAAGAAAAATACCTAGAGGCTGAGAATGCACTGATACTGCTAGATTCGTACCAGCATCTTGGCCCTTGGGTTTTGGCATGGCGTTGTGATGCGCTAGGATACATGAAACGTGTGATGGGAGACTTAGAGGGCGCAGAGATGCTCTACAAGACAGCAGCTTTTGTGACTGATGATGAAAATTGGTCTCAAGCAATGCTTGTCAATCTTGAACAGGTGCTTCGTGCAGCGGGGAAAGATTATGAAGCCACTGCTGTACACGAGTATAGGCGAGCTTGGCTCCTGGGTACTGCTACAATCCCGTCCATAGACCAGTTATTTGAAGGGCTAGCATAATTCAAATTTTATTTCAGCTTATGACCAATGGACTGGACTAGTGACGGCGATCTATACGATATGAATGCGGTTGTGGACATTTGCAAAATCGGTGTTTGACTACACATAGAGACACATTTTTTTTAGACTCCACACGAACTTCTAGTAACGGTGATGAAACCAAGGCCATCTTCAAAGAACAGTGGACCTCGCGCAGAGTACACATGGCCAATGTGGTGCTGGGCATACAATGATGCTAGTTGCTATTAGTGTTTTGAAGCTGCTAGATTTGACCGCCCAGAAGAATGTTCTTCAGACGACACACCGAGAAGGTCTGAGGTGAAATGATAGGTGAATTATGATATATTAAGAGATCGGAACGCTTATGGGGTTTAGGCTCTCAAGAGCGGCTCTGGGGTGTTTCCATAGTTTGCAGGATGGTGAAAATTTATTAACGCAAGAATTGTCAAAATGCGGGGGCAGCGTGCTCGGTAAGATTAACTCATATGCTGTGCACATGTCATGGTCCGAGGCTTGATTTCTACTTATCTGGCAATAAGTTCTAGATACATGTGAAATGGTAATTGTCATGGGTAAACCATGATCGATGGTTTGGGGTTCGGGGTTCTGTGGCAACTATCTGTATTCTCCCCACATTCTCGCCCCATGGGGTCCACGTCGATGTGGGGAGCTCTAACAAATGGGTATGGTAGCGTCCTGGAATACTTGTTGATTAGAACTACTGATTACAAGTTTATCTAGGCTTTGATAGTGTTCTAATCATCATACAATCTTTCTATCATTCGAGAGCCAGGAGCAGCTCATGATGGCAGTCACAATCGAACGACAACCGATCGATACCCTTCCTTCTTTCGGATGGGTTTCGATCTTGCATCTATCTATATCGCTCTTCCTAGGATGGCAGCTACTGCAGTATCTTCGCCAAGTGTTCAGGTCAGACCTGAAGAAGATTCCAGGCCCAAAATGGGCGAGAGTCACGGTGTTTTGGCGACCGTGGGTTTTGAGGCACGGAAAGGCTCCTGATGTCTACCACGAGTTGCACCAGAGATATGGGCCACTCGTTCGAACAGCCCCTGGCGTGGTGTCAATATCAGACCCTAAAGCCACTACCTCGATTTATGGCATTGGCACCAAATACTACAAGGCAAGTTTGATCGCACGAATTACGAGTTCAAGGAATCTAATAGGATAACGCTTTCTAGTCAATGTTCTACAGCCTTTTTGATGTAGCTTACAAGAGCGGCTGGATGCCAAGCATGTTTTCTGTTCGCGATCCAGGCCATCATCAGGCACTTCGCCGGCCTGTTGCCGCTAAATTCTCGATGTCCGCTATGAAAGCGATGGAGCCATTTGCTGATGAATGCACTGATATCTTCATCGACTCTATGAAAGAACTTGAAGGCCAGAAGGTCGATCTCAGTACCTGGCTTCAATGGTATGCCTTCGATGTGATTTCGGCCATGACCTTTCACCGCCGCTTTGGGTTTATGGAGCAGCGAAAGGATGTCGAGCACATGATTGGCGACATAAGTGATGGCCTCGTGTTTGGAGCAGCGATTTCACAGGTTCCAAGCTTGCATCCTTGGTTGATGGGAAGCAAGTGGCTGCACACACTTCTGGCATGGCAACCTTTCTTCAGAGCCCCTGATCCGCTCCGAACCATAATAAAGGTACATATGCATCTCATCCAGTGATTTCTGATTCTTTGTTGATTGTGTGGTAGTTCACAGAGGAGTGTATCGATGAATATGATCGCAATCCTCCCATAGAGGATCGTCCTGACTTTCTGTGTTGGCTGAGGCAGGTGAGTATTAAAGGAGATCCAATGTCTGACGCCGACCTTGTCAATCATCTCTCCAACAACCTGGTGAGTACCCTCTAGTTTCTCTAGTAGAAAATCATCGCAAAGTTAATATAATTCATAGTTAGCTGGAAGCGACACAACAGCGATTT